CTTGCCCAGCATTTCTGCTAGCTTTCGTGCAGAAGGGTGGGAAGACCCTGGAAAATGGGAAGGTTTCCTTCTCTGGCAGCCTGCGCCACAGGGACCCTGCCCTTTGCCCCCATGGCAGCTTGGGGCAGCATCTTGTGAATCGCTTCACAATCATGGCGGAGCCCTTTCCAGACCCGCATGACTTTGACAAGTGGGTGAAGACCCCCATGTGGCCTGCCAACAACCCGAGAGAGAATCTGTCTTACACAACACAAGCAATGGCCATCAAGCGCTATGTGCGGGACGAGATGGGTGTCCATGTCAGGAAAGTCACACATTTTTTCCGGGTACTGGCAACGAGGAATCTGGACGAGGAGGGCATCGATGAAGGCTCAGTCTCATGCTAGCAAATTATATTGCGCAGCATCTACCACTGTGATTGGCAAGTGCACTGAGTTTGTGCCCCTGTCTATGGGTACTTGCTTGGCTCCATCGCCTCACGCATTTTTCTGTTGCAGATCATTGCACGAATGGGCAAGTGGAAATATGAGGCCATGACAAAGAGTTACCTCATGAGTTACCTCAAGCCCGCTGGTCTTCTCGGTTCTGCTGGCTGGCCTGGCGCTGCGACCAACGACTATGAGCAGTACTGGCACCCGCGCTTCTGCGTGCAAGTGCCACAGGGACTGGTGGATCTGCTGTTCCCTTTCCTTCCAAAGCTGCGGCAGGTGCGCGCACAGTCCAGTGTGAGTGTGGGGGGGCTCTGATAAGCTACCGAGGCTCTGGAAAGCTTCTTACCTTCTTGCCAAGCCTTTGCTGACCTTGCTGACAATTTCTATCCCGTGCAGACTGTCAAGGAGCTTGAGAGCACGAACGCTGTGAAGAACTCCATGCAGAGCGTTCCCGCCGCCCTAGACTACCTGGCATTGATTGTGGTGCAAGATAATCTGGAGGATGCCGAGCGATACCCAGAGAATTCAGTGCATGCGCTGCTGCTGGGCTCGCCGCTATTTAGGTGATTTTCTTGCCTTTGCATGATCCTCCCACAGTGCAGGGCACAGAGAGTAAAGATTGCTGCTTGTGCCAAGAGAGCAAGGAGCTTGAAGCTATGTGGCCTAGAGGCATGGACTTAGATATCCGATACTGACAACAACTTTGGTGACTGCAGGAAATTGTTGGAGCAGTATGAGGAGGACAAGGCAGCCCACAGCTTTGACAGCATGCGGCCAATGACAGCTGCCAGGCACATGCTGGAAGTGCGTGCATTCATGATGCAATTCAGGGAGTTCATCTCACAGCCCACCACTGCCAGCGGAGCATTGGCAGTGGCTGCGTACTCCCCGGTCAGGGTGGTGCAGGGACGCGGCGCTGCTCGCACCAGCTATGCCTCAGAGCTAGCCAGCCAGCAGCGCTCCTTCCAGCATCTGGAAGCCACTGTTGCGCGCATGGAGCCGAGCGCGCAGCCTGAAGGTGTGCAGTTCCTACAAGAAGTGCAAGAAGTCTCATTTCTGATCACTCCCACCACTTCCAAGCCATGCACTGTAAGTCATGCTATTGAATGATTTTCTAAATGTGCTTCATGCCTTTTAGGCCGATGTCTGCCTGCTCTGTACTTGCCTGATAGAGGATGCCTTGTTCAAAAATATTGCAATGCTGCGTGAAATTCTTGAATGTGCTTCTTGTATCAGAAATAAATTAAGTGGTTTCTCTCTTCTAGTTTGCTGCTCTCGATGGAATTTTCTAACTACATGGAGATTCGTGAAGGCTTTCATTTTGATTGTTGCAGACATGGTGGAGGCGATGGAGGACGCTTTGCTTCCAGAGCTGGGGGAGCCAGGGGATGAAGCGCCCCTGCTGCAGCTATCAGCTTCATCGGACAGCAGTCCACAAAGGACTGAGGCAGTGGCACCCATTGAAGCTGCAGCCTCAGCCCATGCGGCAGCGGCAGCGGCAGCGGCAGGGGCAGCGGCTGATGTGGACAGACCATGGGCAGCGCCTATGGTGCCCCCTGCAAGGCCGCCAGCGGCGCGTGCAGGGCCGGTGCTGGGCTCGCCCAACGTCCTCTCCAAGCCATTCGCCAGGCTGCTGGGCACTTCAGAGCAGAGGGAACAGCGCGAGCACAGCGAGATTGTGGCGAACAGCAAGTTCGTGCTTGTGCCTGGATACGGCTATCTGCCAGTGGTGTCTATCAACGACATGATGTTGCAGCCCCAGCATGCTGCAGCGGGCGCATCAGCCGAATCAGCAGCATTGCACAACCCAATGCTGCAAGACACAGCACGTTGGCCAGTCTGCCAAAATCCAGAGTTGCCTTGGCCAGTTTGCCAAGACAAAGCACGTTGGCCATTCTGCCAAAATCCAGAGTTGCCTTTGCCAGTTTGCCAAGACACAGCACGTTGGCCAGTCTGCCAAAATCCAGAGTTGCAATTGCCTTGGCCAGTTCGCCAAGACACACAGAAGCACGTTGGCCAGGTTGCCAAGATCCAGATCACAGACATCTCTCATATAAGGGTGTCTCCAGTTTACTCAGCCAGAACCAGCCAGCAGATTCAGTTGCACAAAGTGCCTGATTACCAGTGCCAGCCCCTTCAGTAGTACTAAGTACCTGAATGTGGGAACCCTTCTGTAGCACTAAGTGCCTGAAGGAAGTGTGAGTCACGAATAAGTGAACACAGACCAGATATGGCCATCCAGACTAGTCCAAGCCCAGGGCACCAGTCAGTGTGACGGTCACATTACTCTCAGAGAGGGTATGTGTAAACCAGGCATGTTTATCTTTAAAGATACTACATGCACCAGGGCAATTTCATTAAATGATTTGCCACCAGCAGCTGTACAACCTCTTTTCCATATAAGGGGGAGGGATGTAACAGACCAGATCCAGATCACAGATATCTCTCATACAGGGGTGTCTCCAGTCCAGTCAGCCAGATGCAGCAGTCCAAGGGCGCTGTCAGCCAGAGATAACCTTGTACAACCTTGGACAGAGTTTTGTACAGAACATTACAAGAGCCAGAGCATATAAGCCAGCGACCAGCCAGCCAGAGACCACAACCACCCAGAGCAGACTTGTTTCGATATAGAGAGTAAGCTGCTTGTTACAGCAACAGACAATATCTTGGGAATTAAGGCGACTGGCCAACTGCTGTACATGTATAAATGGCCAATTGGTGCAACGGGTGCAGTCCATGCTAGTGCTGCTTGCAAAGCGACAGATACACAGAATATTTCCTCTATTTTCATGCCAGTTTCTTTTGATCGGCTGTCTACTAATGAGTAGCTGGTCGCTGGTAATACATCATTTTGAAACGCTAATATCACATGCAATGTGCAATCTACGGTTGATATCTACCAAGGCGCCCAGACTGATGAGTTCCAAAATGCGATACGTTTTGGAAAGCCTGCGTGAGAAGAAATGTGTGATCGTGCTAACAACAGTTCCAGTTTCCCCTTTTATATAGAGGGTTGGAACCATGATCCTAACCCGTGAGCTCACCCTTTTGTGTCATAGGGTCTCGGGCAGGGCCGGGGTGAATACCTTGGAGGTGCCCGTAGCGGGGACCGTAACGGGTCGCGGTGCTTCCATAGCACGCACCCTAACACTCCTCTCCTTCACTCATCGTTCATCCCTCTTCATTTAATTCAATCATGTTGATCATTTCCAGGTCACCTAAGTTGGGTAGTTCGAGCTCTCAGAACTTGAGCTCTCGGGAGTCGAGTCTCCTTAGCTGATCATGCCTTAAGACTCTCCACAGCTCGGAGACAAAAGATATCCGGAGACAAGAGCCGGGGACCTACGACGAGGACTTAGTAGGTGCTAGAGAGCCAAGATAGAAAAGCAAGAGCCAAGCAAAGACGAGCCGAGGTGTTGGGGGGGGGGGGGGGGGGGGGGGGGGGGGGGGCTAGGACTCCCGCGGGGGAGTTAAATTCCCACGGCTTGAAGGCGGGGGGAACGATTTGTGTTGTGCATAAATCTCTTGGGCCTTCGGGTTCTCAGAACCCAAGGCTTGGGTCCCGGATGCTTGGCGCCCAGCCGTGATGGTGCTAGTTGCTGGCTGAAAACTTGCAGAGTCCATGGACAAAATAGAACAATTTGTGTTAGGCGCCCTGATGGAGCCTAGGGAGTGATCAAGGAGGCAAAGGTCGACCGAACGAAAGGGTTTGACGTCAAACATGCCACTTTGAGAGTGGACCCATATGGATGACTCACTCGGAAGGAGGAGTCCAACATGGACTCTTTCTTTTCAAAACGTCTTTCCTATCGATACTTGGACGTCCAGCTAATCATGTCTGACCTTCAGATCGGTACCTGGTCTTAGACCTAATCATACTAGACTGGGCTAAGGGACGCCAGTCCTGGGCTGGGGGCTCCTCGAGGGACTACGTTCATAGCGTGGACCACTGAGTGTGGTATCCTCTTTGCAAGGAAATAGGGTTTGCAGCCCTAGGCAGAGACTGGGCCCATCATGGCATGCAGAAAGTATTGGAACGCGGCACGATGCAGCTCGCTAGCAAAAGCTAAGAAGTCGCGGAGGCGCATTATAAAATTTGCGTGCTAGGAAACCAATGTTCAACGCCTATCGACACAAGATCAAGCTGATCACATCGTTGCGCTTCCAACGCCACAAAGCTAGCTAGGCTCTCCAAGTCGGCCAATTTGCTTCTCCGTAAGGCCTCAACATCCCTATGAATGCCTCCACGACTTCCCCTAGACTCCAAAATTGTGACTTCATCGATGTGATCAGGCTTTGCAAGATATGAATATGTATCAAGAGCAGACAGCGATCTCCTGTAAGAATATGCAAACCCTTTGGACTTTGAATGATCGTCTGAACACGCCGTTGCCAGAACCTGACGCTTGATCGAAACGTGTGATCCTCACGCAGGTGCATGTACTTGCGCACTTACTGACGCCCTCCCAGGCAGGGGACTAAAGGGGAATGCAATGAACAACGTGGTGGACCCCCTTTGCAATGTCAAAACGACACCTGTGCGCTGCTTCAACCGGTCTGGAAGCTCACCTTGAACTTTAATTCGTAGCAATTGCTTTCTCTTAATTATGTGTCCGGTCTCGTCCCTGCAGACATCTGCTTGAGGCATGGCCCTTCTTGACATTGCACACTCAAGCGCTCTAGGTACTTCTTCACAGGGCACCCTGCCAAGAAGAGATAACTAGGCATTGGTAGCCTTGTGACGTCCTAATCAACATGGTGGAGCGTTCTGAGAACATTAACCTGGACATGGATGTCGGTCCAAGCCCCTTTGAAAGAGCCTCCTCACATGGCGCTCTGCCAAGGACCAGCAGTGTTGAGCAGACCGTTGCTGAAGGACCTGTTTCAACTCACAGCGGCGAGTTGGCTCGTCGTAGGTTGCCTGGGCACAAGAGGGCATCCTCTCTATCGGACCTGTCCAGGTGTGGAAGCATCTTGACCTGTACACTTGAGACTGTTCTGTGGACTTCTACCTTGTCTCCGTCCCGCCTGCTTTGGGCTCGGCATTTGCGAATGTCATCTTTCCAATGTTCTGCAGCTCGCTACTCCGTTTCGTGAGTGCTGCAAGCATGCTTAGGGTACTTGTTTATTTTCTGGCTGACGATGTATCTGCGTCTTGGACTCCATGCACCACTCGTCAGCGTTGTTTCTGGCATTGCATGTAGCATGAAAATCTGTACATTTTAGAAATTGTGGGCGGTGGGTGACGAGGGTGAAAGCTGTCAGGGTTGCAGGGGTGCTCAGGTTTGGCTCAGATACCACGCCTACCTGCCAGAGAGCACCCTGCCAGGAGACCCAGCAGTCTTGAGAGCACCAGAAACACATTCGTTCTACTGATATACCAGGGACTGCCCTTTCCTGCAGGCAAGGGAGCAACCCATTGAAGATGGGGGTGCCAAAGCGCGTGCCCAGCCTCAACACACAGGTGGAGGGAAAGTGCAGGGAGCTGGGAGGCATCAATGCAATCCACAGGTGGGGCTGTGTTTTGATTTGCGCTTCTACTATGAGTCTTGTGGCTTCAAAGGATCAGCACGGGGCACCAAACCTGTCAGGCAATTGTCAGCCTGCTGGCGAAGAAAGCATTGCTCGCACTTGCAAGGGCCCTGTTCATTGTTTGGCGACCAAGTCCTCAAATCTCTTCTGATCTGATCTGAAGGCAGGCTGCTCTCTTGGCACCAATGTCACTGCGCCGTGCTTCGCGTGCAGTAAGGAGCACTAAAGGCGCCACATTTCGACACAAACAGTTGACATTGTTGCTTGTGCGAATGCGCAGTGTGCTCGTGGCTAACAATGGCATTGCCGCGGTCAAGTTCATCCGCAGCATCCGCAGCTGGGCCTACAAGACCTTTGGCAACGAACGCGCGGTTGCGCTGGTCGCCATGGCAACCCCCGAGGACATGCGCATCGACGCAGAGCACATCCGCATGGCCGATCAATTTGTGGAGGTTCCTGGTGGCTCTAACAACAACAATTATGGCAACGTCCAGCTCATCGTCCAGGTGGCGGACCGCGCCAATGTGGACGCTGTCTGGCCCGGCTGGTGTGTAGCTTCCCACATGTGTCTAAAAGCTCTAGATTGCAGCCCCGATACACCGTGCTGAAGAGAAATGGACCAGCACAAGAATTATTTCCTGTTGCTGCTTTAACTGCGGACGCGCCTTTTCAGCATTTCCTGCCACGAAGTGTTCTGAGCCAGTTGCCAGCCTTGAAAGCCGTCCTCAGATGAAGCAACGCCGGTGGGGGATCGGGGCTGCACAGCTTGACAAGGGAGCGGCGATGTTCACAAGAAAAACGGCGCTACTCATCGATGTTCACGGCGGTGCGTGTGCAGGGGGCACGCCTCAGAGAAGCCGGAGTTGCCCATAGCGCTGTCAGAGACCCCCTCGGGCATCCGCTTCCTGGGACCCCCTGCCCCCTCCATGGCAGCCCTGGGCGACAAAATAGGCTCCACCATTCTGGCGCAGGCGGCAGGCGTTCCCACCATCCCCTGGTCAGGCTCTGACGTCAGCGTGGACTATGAGTCATGCGGCGGCAAGATCCCGGCCGACGTCTACAAGAAGGTGGGTGCCCGCTCGAGGAATGGGAGTGCTCGCGTGCGTAGGCCAGTCAATGTTGTGTGGTCGGGAGGGGGCCAGCCCCCACTGCTGCATATAGGGGCTCTCAGATCTACTTTTCAGGACCACCAGAGCATACTCGCATCGCTGGATAGCCGCGGTTGCTACATGTTATGCAGCATGATGCATGACAGGCTTGAGGTGGCTAGGGGGAGGTCTTGATGCCACCAGTGCCGCCGTTGTCCACACTAAAGCCCAAGGCAGCAGCAAGATTAGCAAGCCTTCAAGAGCCTTCAGGGGCGCCAAGATTGGCTTGAGAATGTGCTATGCGGCTATCCCTTACGGCTCACATGCCTTCACGGCTGTCTTGAGGTGGTGTGATTTGTGGCAGGCGTGCATCCACAATCTGGAGGAGGCGCTCGTCAGCTGCAAGCGCATTGGCTACCCCATCATGCTCAAGGCCTCCTGGGGTGGAGGCGGCAAGGGCATCCGGAAGGTACATACTCCGCATACAGACACTTTTGCTCGAGCAAGCCTGTACTGCAGTTGCCAAACAAGCCTTCCTGGCACGCCATGTCACCCTGTGGAAGGTGGGTGTGGCTCTCCGATTGATCCGAGGGATCTAGGTCAGCGTGAAGCACTCCTAGATGTGAGGAAGTGCCAGTGCCATGCCCCTCTTGCAACTGCAATCCAGTGGTGCAGGCATCAGAAGCAATCAATAGTGGGGAGTGCCTACACCGATTACGACCAGGCAATCCTATCACAGGACAGGACAGGACACTACAAACAAACTGCATCACTGGCAAGAGTGGATAGCTGTGTCTGGAGAAGTGCTGTTGGGCGAAAATAGGTGGTCTTGGGTGACAATTATCTGAGATTTGGCACCTGTGCGTTCTCTGCAGGTGATGAACGACGACGACGTGCGCGCCAGCTTCAAGCAGGTGCAGGGGGAAGTCCCCGGGTCCCCCATCTTCGCCATGAAGCTGGCCCCCCAGTCGCGCCACCTGGAGGTCCAGCTCATCTGCGACGAGTACGGCGGCGTTGCCTCCATCTTTTCCCGCGACTGCTCCGTGCAGCGCCGCCACCAGAAGATCGTCGAGGAGGGCCCTGTCTCCAAGGTGCAGACCCACGTCCCTTGACTCCCGCTGGAATTGCAGAAATCTATGCCACGACTCTTTCTTAGCAGGGTTGGTGTGCCAAGAATATGTGAAAGACTAGAAAGAATTGGAGGGAAAAACCCTAGGTCAATGCCCCCAGTTATAGAAGCCCTAATATTTATTTTACAGCAGGGGTCTCAGACGTACCTGCATGATGCGTGTTCAGTGGTGTTACTGAAAGCTCTGTTCAATTCTAAGACCTTCGCGTTGTTGACAGTTTTCCAGTCATCCTACACACGCCCCTCCGACTCTTGATCACCTGAATCATCCAGGAGCGGCTGCGCTGGCCTGTGCTACTCACGTTGGGCGCCGTCATGCCGGCGCCCAGGAACTTTGCGGCATGCATTGACCGCTTGTCCCTACTGTGTTGACAGGCCCCTCCAGCAGTGCTGGCATCCATGGAGCGCTGCGCGCGCGCTCTGGCCAGAAGTGTCGGCTATGTCGGCGCCGCCACTGTGGAGTACCTGTACACCCTGGACGACGGCAAATACTTCTTCCTGGAGCTCAACCCGCGCCTGCAGGTGTTTCCCAGAAGAAGTGCTCACCATTTGGGCTAGGCCGGCAGATGGGCGCCAAGTGGGTAATGAGGAACTATTAGAATGCTCTAGCCCTGCCAGCTGCACGCGCTCACAAGCATGCCCAGCCGGCTGACAGCAATTCAAAAAATCAATGCAGTTGTGCCCACACTGTGAAACAGCAGCCTCCAGGCAAACTGTACCCGGTGTGAAGTCCTGATCCGCAGCCTGTGGCTCAATCACGCAGTACAGCACGCACCTGTAGTGTGTTCTCAAGCCAGCTTCGGTTGGTGCCGTCAGACACCCTGATCCTGATTGCGACAGGGGCACTCTCATGACCTCTTCTTGCTGGCTCTGGCGGGTGCCATGGATGAGGCAAGGCCATGGATGGGCTAGGGGGCATGGGTTCATTCGTGCCCTCACGGTGGCGAGGTCCACCACGCCTTTGGCATGCTTGACCCCTGCCTCCTTAACCACGCCCCAGGCTTCATCGGGGCGTCCATCTGTCATTTCATATTTATATTGCAATCAGTTTTTGCCGCGCCGCAGGTGGAGCACCCGGTGACCGAGTGGATCAGCGGAGTCAACATCCCCTCCTGCCAGCTCATGATTGGAATGGGAGTGCCCCTGCACCGCATCCCCGACATCCGCCGCCTCTTCGGCAAGGACCCCAAGGGCACCTCCCCCATCGACTACGATGCTGAGGCCCAGATCCCGCCCTCAGGTGTGTTCAATTCTTCATGTGCCTCTCCTCCACCATTCTCAGAGCTGTGGCATGTCCTTTTTGTGCCTGCGGCTGGCAGGCCCAGATATCATATTGTACAAGAATGTAATATTTGGTGCGGCTCGCATGTTACAGCGCACAAGTGTTGCAGCTAGGATCCCGCCCTCAGGCAGGCCCCTGCATGCGCCCAGCGCTGACGCTCCTGGAACATTGAAGCTGGCTCTCAAAGTGGAAATGCAGCGCTGCCCTAGGGCGGCTGCCGCTGTTGTGCGTGTTGGCCGGGTGCAGGCATAGAAATGAGCTAGACTTTGTTTGCAGGCAACCTTCCTCTATGTTGTCCATCTTTATGTCGTTATTAATAGATTTAGTGCCTTCTGGGAGCCACCTGAGGCCCAGCTGGGTGGTGGGCAAATAAGTGGAGCTCCCCCCAGCGATACCAGACTGGGGCAGGCAGAGGGGTGCGGGTGACACTGGTCCTCCCCGAAGGTTATGAGTGCCCTGGGTGTATGTTTTTTTAGGGGTTAGGGGGTAGGGATAAACCCTAAAAATGAATTAAGAACCCATAAAACCCTGAAAACCCTAAAGCAGCAGGGTGTTTGTGGCAGGCCATGTGGTGGCGGTGCGCGTGACGAGCGAGGATGCCAACGATGGCTTCAAGCCGACCTGCGGGAGCATCGACGAGCTGTCGTTCCGCACCTCGCCCGACGTCTGGGGCTACTTCTCAGTAAAGTCCGGCGGCGGCATCCACGAATTCTCAGACTCCCAGGTGCGCCAGGAACAATCACCCTAAAACCTACATTGCATTGCCCCTGCTGCCACGGAAATATTTCCACAATGTGTTTTTTGCTTGGGGAATGTGATTTTAGGGTTTGGGGTTTAGGGAAGGGGCCTTCAAATTTTTTCAACGGGAAATGCAATGGTGGATTTAGGGATCAGATTCGATGAAGGTTTGAAAATCTGTAATCATCAACAACATTTGTTAGACTATGTCTGCGCGCCTGCTGCACAAAGCCCTCTTTCGTGGGCCCAACTGTCCCCATCTGCCGGGTGTGGCTCCCTGCCTGTGCTCTGCTCCACGACTTGCATGTATTTCAGAGAGTGAACAGCTGGGCTGTCCCCTGCCGCCCTGTCAAAGCCGACAGCTCATTGTGCCCGTCCAGGATGCATCTTGTGTCAATAGCTTTCAATCAGTGGGCGTGCCTGCCATGGTCCCCTCACATGACCTCCAGGATCCAGCACTGAGGTCTCAACGCCGCCATTTGCCCAGGGTTTTGCCACTGGCATCAGAGACAGGATGTCCTTGGAACACAGTAGGTTGGTCCAGACTTAATGTTGACGCTGCATCACTGATGGTTTAATTGTGTGCGATGCTGCGCAGTTCGGGCACCTGTTTGCAAAGGGCGACACGCGCGAAGCAGCCATCCGTGCCATGGTAGTGGCTCTGAAGGAGGTGAAGATCCGCGGCGAGATCCGCACCACCGTCGACTATTGCGTGGAGATGATCCAGTCACCTGACTTCGTCGGCAACGCCATCCACACTGGCTGGCTAGACTCTCGCATCGCTTCTCACGTGAGCCACATATCATCTTAAGTCCACTTGTGCAGCATTCGCATTGTCGCTGGTTGCCTGCGCATGCATGCAAGGCGTCGCAAGCTGCCAGCCTGGCATGCGGGCTACTGATCTCATTTTGATTCTACCACCCCTGCCATCAAGTGCATGCTCTGGACGGCCTTATGGAACCTTTCTGAGAGAAACCTTTTCTGCAGCCAGCTTTGCCTTAAAGGCAGGCTCTTTTGGTGGGATGATCTGCGCTGCTTGGTCGGGGTTCATCAGTAATGGTAATGACGGTCTGGGGCGTTTTAGTTATTTGTCTGCCTGCCACCAGGCTGGATGGGCAAAGCTTGAAGTCTCCATTTCCACGAGAGCCCATTCCAAGCACTATTGGAGGGGCACAGCTCGAACCTCAGCCCTCAGAGTTCACGAGAGCTCTTGCAGGGTCCTTCACGCATGCTGTGGCCGCACAGGTGCGCGCAGAGAAGCCGGCCTGGTATCTGGCGGTGATCAGCGGCGCGCTGCTGCGCACGCTGGACTTTGTGGCCGCGCGCAGCGCAGAGTACCTGGGCTACCTGGAGAAGGGGCAGCTGCCGCCCGCACGTCTCACGCTCACAGCCTTCGAGGAGGCCTTTGTGTTGGACGGTGCGGCACCTGTAGCTCACCTTTAGCACCTTGGCCTGGCGGCATCATTAGCGTTGTATGCTCCCTGTGAGGCAATCATCTGATCAAACTCAAACCGGGGGCTCCTGAAGAGTGTGCCTCCAATTTTATATGCCCCCTGTTGCAAAGCCGGTCAGTGTCCTTCATGGATTCAGCGCGCATCGGCGGTCAGCGCCCGGAGAGGATCTTTGTTGTGCGCGTGTGATGTGGGCGAGAATTGCGCTGCAGGCCTGAAGTACACCGTGAAGGTTTCGCGCCGCGGCCCGCAGAGCTTCCGGGTCTTCCTGGGCAGCAGCCACGTGGACGTGGTCGCGCGCAAGCTCAATGATGGCGGCCTCCTCGTCCAGGTGCGCCAGTCTTGGCCATCTTACAGCCTGGCACCTTGCAGTTATAAGGGCACACCTGACGTTGACGTTGGGCTGCCTTGAAAGCTCAGACCAAAGCTCCTTGGGCAAAGATGTGCTGAGGAGCCGCTGTCGAGTGGATGATGAGTTGTTTCACCTACTGGTGTCCAGCACCTTGGGGCAGGGTTGCTGAGGGATCGCTGGGTTGAATAGAGGGAGGAGTTTGCCTGAACTTGGTCTGGCTGTTGAACAGGTGGACGGGCAATCGCATGTGGTGCACAGCGAGGAGGAGGCACTGGGGACTCGACTGACCATTGACTCGCTGACGTGTCTCATGGCCAACGAGACCGACCCCTCCAAGCTGCTCGCCATCTCACCGGGCAAGCTCATGCGCTACCTGGTCCCTGACGAGGGCCACGTTCAGGCGGACCAGCCATACGCCGAGATTGAGGTGCGCACTGGCAGCGTTGTGTTTTACACTCTTTGGGGTTAGCTGATTACGGGGGCCTCAGGATTCCCTTGGGGAGTCTGAAGTCATCTCCTGGGACTTTGCTGTCATCTTGCATGCCCAATCTTGATACGAATCGCAGCCAGCAGAGATCTACACATTGCGGTCAATTGCTGGCTCCTCGCAACCCGATTTCAAGGCCAGGGAAGTCCGAGGGTGCCTTTACTGAAATCCTGACCGGGGCGGTGCAGGTGATGAAGATGCTGATGCCGCTGCTGACGCCGGCGACGGGCACGATCAACTTCCAGCTGCCGGAGGGCGCCGTGCTGACAGCGGGTGACCTCATCGCTGTCCTGGACCTGGATGAACCGGGCGCAGTCACCGCCGCGGCCCCCTACCCCGGGGGGTTCCCTGAGCTGGGCCCCCCTCTGGTGCACAGCCAGGGCGTGGACTACCGCTTCAAGGAGGCCTACTCCGCCGCCAAGATGATCCTGGAGGGTGCGCACCTGACGCACTGCCGGGTTAACCCCCCTGCATATTCGGGCCCTGCATCTTTTAGGGTTTCAGGGGTTATATAGGGTATCACAGACATGTACAGTGCTAGAAATATTACTACTACCCCTGGTTTGGCTGCTGCAGTGGAGTCCTCCTGTCCCTCGCATGCGTTGAGGGTGGGGAGTGTGTCGCAGGCTACGAGCACCCAGTGGACCTGGTGATGGAGGATCTGCTGAGCTGCCTGGACGACCCTGCGCTGGCGCTGCTGCAGTGGAACGAGGCCTTCGGCGTGGTGCAGGTGCGATTTTGCTCTCCACAAGCGCCATGCGCCCGGCTGCTAGGCATGACAATTGGCATCTGCTGAAAGCAGCCGAGTGGGTCCTGGGGTTCTTGCTTTGTGGGCCTAATGCCGTGCTGTCCGTTTTTGCGACCGGCTCTTTCCTCGTACAGCGACAGGTGTGGCCTCTGCCCGTATGGTAACCGACTGCGTGAAACCAGCTGGGTTTTATTCGTCCTGTGTTGTCGTCCATTATGTCAATCCCCAGGGCACTGACGCGGTGGCGCTGACGCGCGCAGACGCGGCTGCCGGGGGAGCTTGCGATGGAGCTTGAGGGCCTGGCAGTGGAGTACGAGTCGGACCTGATGTACTACCAGCAGGAGGCGGCCGACAGCGAGACCGAGGACGAAGAAGACGGCGTCGAGCCACTGCGGCCGCTGCGCAACTTCCCGGCTATCGCTCTCATAACCGCCATCCACACCGCCATCGAGGTGCGCTGTGCGCCGCCTCTCAAGTGGCCGGCCCCCGGCCACAAGCTGCAGTGCTGCGTCGTGCATGATCTGGCCAGCCCAGCAAGCGGTCCATTGCAGAGCTGCCTGAGACGGGTGCACACTACCTTGGCCTCCAGCCGCTTCATGAGGAAAGCACCACCGGTCGAGTCTCCTTACGCTGCGACCGGCAGCCTCACCGGTGGCCGGCGGTGCCCTCCGTGAAGGAAGCATGTGCGGCATTTTTTGAAAGCGCCACAGCCCTGCAGTGCACGTGAGAAAACATGCAACAGCTGCCTGACGCGCTGTGTGGCTGCGTCCTGCCGCAGAACACCAAGCCGGCCTGCCACGCGGCGCTGAGCGCGCAGTGCGAGCGCAGGCCCCCAATATGGTTCCTATTATTGCAATGTACCCTCGCTCAAAGCTCGTGCTCATTACAGGGCCCATTGATAGATTACACACGTCTAATTCCCCCTTCACTCATCGACAAGCATGTGCCGCATTTGCAGAACACCAAGCCGGTGGACCGCGCGGCGCTGAGCGCGCAGTGCGAGCCGTTGCTGGCGGTGGCAGAGGCGCACGCGGAGGGCAAGGAGGCATTCGCGCGCAGCATCGCGACCGAGCTCTTCTCCGACTTCCTGTCCGTCGAGGAGCGCTTCGCGGCCAACAAGGAGGCCACCGAGCAGGAGGTCATCGATCAGCTGCGCCAGGTGTGCAGCCCCTCCTCATGCTGGACATTGGTGTAGAACTGCAGGCTGGTGTGCATGGACATATCTGCTTCAAGGTGTGTTTCCACACCGTTTCCATGATCAGGGAGCGTCACCACTGTGGTCTGATTTGCCATTGTTGCTTACTTTAACAGCGCCAGTATGTCGGCCGAATGGTACAGTGTGTTGCATGTTTGAAATTGCATGGCTGCGGACATTGGCGTCACGGCATTGGCCCTGGCAAGAGCAATGTGGGCTGCAATTCTGTCTTCCTGAAGCAGATTGCCGCATGCAAGCGGTGCCGGCAGTGCTGCCGCCTGCATTTGATAACAGCAAGGAGCCATGGCCGTGACTGTTGAGGATGCGCTTTTTCAGGTGTACAGCACCAACCTGGGCCAGGTGGTAGACATCGTGGTGAGTCACCAGGGGGTGGCGACAAAAACACAGATGGTGAGCCAGCTCATGTCCTCGCTGGTGCTGCCCGCGCCCGAGCACTACCGCCCGCTCCTGCGCCGCCTCGCCGCACTGGGTGAGTCTGCTCCCTTCCCACCCAGGGTTGAGCGGTTGTTTTCTCAGGGCCCCTGCAAATCACTTTTTTGTGTTGGACGAACACTGCTGGGAATGCCATTGCGCACCTTCCACCTTGTGTGAACTACAACAGTTGCTGTGCAGGACAATAGCAATCATTGTGGCGCATGCTGTCGCAAGGAGCTGCATTTCACAGACAATGGGTGTGCCGCGTGTGTTAAAGTCTGATGCGGTGGCAATTGTGTGCAGGCAATGGCTGCGCGGAGGTGGCCTACAGAGCGCAGCAGCTGCTGGAGCACTCGCTGCTCAGCGAGCTGCGCGCGATAGTGGCGAGAGCGCTCTCCGGCCTGGACATGTTTGCCGGCGGCCAGCTCTCCGAGCTGGACCTGCTCGGCTCCGACTTCCTTGAAGCGCCCCTGCCGGCCGAGGTGCGGCAATCTATGCATTATGACTATCATTTTCATTATTGCACACTTTTCCTGCCGAGAGGCAAGCGGACAAGCTGCAGTTATGGCGGCCACACACCCTGCCCCTTCGCCAGATCCAAGCAAGATCCAAATCAAACTTGGGCATATGTATGACCCTCTGCTGTACATGGACGGAGGGCATGATGCCGCCATTGCGAAAACATCTTCCTGTGCCGAGGCGCCTGCTTTGGGGCATGCTTGAAACTGTAATTGCCTTGTAAATGTAGACGCTGCCTCAGGCTCAAGAGGTGGCCGCACTCTCACATGGTTCTTTCCCTAATCGGGCAATGACATGTGGCTGCAGCCAATGGCATCCTTGTAATTGTCCATGCTGCCTCTCACTCAAAAGCTGTCCGCATTCTTACACATTTCTGTCATTGAACGGGCGATGGCTTGTGGCTGCAGCCGAACGTGCTGACGCGGCGGCCCACGGTGGTGGAGGGACTCTACAGCGGCCTGGGCAGCGGAGCGGCGCTTACCGCAACGCAGCTGGACATCAAGATGAAGCTGCTGGTGGAGGCGCCCGCAGCAGTCGAGGACGCGCTGGCTTCTCTGCTGGACCACCACGACGTAATGCTACAGGTGGGCCATCTGTTTTGCTGCGCAGAACGCAGAGAGCGCCGCCATCGTCCAGTCACCGTTTCCAGGGAAGATTCGTACTCACAGCTAGACTAGTTCAGACTTAGGTTAGCAGTAAGGGTTTGCATTTATTCTACTCAGTTGGTGGTGACCCGACGGCAGCGACAACCCTCATTTCTGCAGAAAATGCACCGCAGAGTGTTGATACCTTCCATTTGCTGCGTCGGCCAGAGCGCCCAGCGAGTGGTTCTGCGGACCCTGGCCCGCCAATAACTGCCTCATGTATTGCCCTCACAGCTCCTCCAAGCTGCCGTGCTCACAGCCGCGCCAGAGTGAGGAGAGCTCTCGGGCTCACCAGTGGGTGGCTTTGTGCACAGGAAAGGCCAGTATTTTCATAAAATTTCACGTCTCTGGGTTGCTGGTGCGCTTCAGGCCATGCAGAACACAATTTTTGGCTGATGTCTTGCGTGCACATGCGTAGACGCGGGCGCTGCAGACGTACGTGAAGCGCGTCTACTACCCGTTCCTGCTGCGCGACCCGGAGATCCACGTGCTGGAGGGCGTGCTGTGCGCGCTGTGGGTGCACACCCACCCCACGTTGGCTGGCATGCCCCATGCGCAGACCAGCCTCAGCGTCGCTGTCATCGTGCCGGCGCTCTCCGGCCTGCCGGCCGCGCTGGCCGCCGTGGAAGACGTCATAGCTGGCTCGGGTGCGCTGGGGCTCTTCTGTCGCCTGTCGCGATTGCAGGATTCCCCGTCATGTTCAACGTAGGAAGGCTCTTGCAACTGCAGACTCTCTGTCGGCTGCCGGGGCTTTGGCAGACTCTGCATTCGAGTCAGGCCAATAGTAGTGGTGGCACGCCCGGTATCCCCCGGCACAATCATGTCAATTACATGGCCTTTACTAACCAGATGACCTCTAGTAGGGACTACCCGTTTCAGCATGCATGGCAGAACCTAAAAATGTAAATATATATTAAAAATCTGGCTGATCGCTGTGGGGATGTGCGCAGCTCTGGCGCCCATCCCGCGGGGCACGCTCCATGTGATGCTGACCAAGCCGGGCGAGGCCGGGCTGGCGCTGTCCAAGGCGGCCGAGGCCGAGCGCGAGGCGGCAGCGGCTGCGGTCGCCGCCTTCCAGGAAGCTGCCACAGGAGAGAGCCTGGTCAGCGCCGACCCGCGCGCAACCGCCGCTGCCGTCAACGCCCAACTCCGCTCCGAGCAGGCCGACCTGCTCGACGCCGGTGCGTGCCATCCGCGTCGTGCCCCTTTGCAGATCCCCACAATGTCGCCTCCTTCGTCAGGAGGTTTTGACTCGACCCACCATGGATTCATTGCTAGCACGTCGAGAGAGCAGCGTGCCAATAATGCATGGGATCCCCCTTCCATGGTCCTGCGGCTGCTGCATACCCTTGGTGGTATCAGGACTCGCAAAACTTGAATGTTTGGTTGCTTGCCAATGCTCTTCACCTGTGAGGCTTCCTTGGTGAGGGATCAGGGCCTTCTTGTGCCATCTGCTGGGTCTTGCATTGTCTGACAGCCTGAAGCAGTGAGAGCTTGGGACACTGTCCGGCTGACAGAGAGGGTTGATACAGTGCCTGGGTTGCGGGCAGGGTACGAGAGCGTGAGCGTGCTGAGCAAGCACGGAGGCCTGGCGCCGCTGCGGATCGGGTTCTGGCGCCAGAAGGCGCCCGGCAAGCCGCCCGGCTACGTGCCGGACGCGCTGCTGTGCGCGGTAGAGCCGCCGGCCGCGCAGCTGCTGGAGCTGTCGCGCCTGGCTGCCTTTGGCGAGGGGCTCACCTACGCGCCCAGCCGCAACCGCCAGTGCCACCTGTACGCCGTGACTCAGCGCCGTGACCCGCGCAGCCTCGCCCTCAAGCGCGTCTTTGTCAGGTCGGACCCGCCGCCTTTTTTCCTTTTTTCCTGTTTAGAGTTAAGGGCCTAATAAACATCACACTAAATTTAAAAATTCATAAAATATCATACCGTATAAGTATATTTTCGGCCTTGCAAGCAACCTGCCTCGCCTGATCTGAGCCCTACTGGAAGCCCAAGCTCCCGCATCTGGCCTGCCCTGTCTCCCTGGATGCCATGCGTTGGGGGTGTGTCCACCCTTTGTCAAGACCTGGACAATGCCTTTCCCAATGCCTCCAATGCCAGCCTTCACCTTCTCGTGTGGCTAAGTTGGCTTGAGCTTGTGCGTGGTCATCAGCTATCAGATCTGCTGTCTGTGACTTTTGACCTCCCGGTGGAGTTCCCAGTCATCCTGAAGTGAAGGACACTGTGCCAGCGTTGCTTCCAAGGCCCACAGGGACAATCGAGACCTGCGCAACACAGCAAGGAATACAGATATCGGCTCGTGCTCATGCGTGCCCGCTGACCCTGCAGGGGCCTCGTGCGCCAGCTGGGCAAGCCGGCGCTGCTGGCGGCCACGTACAAGGGGGACGCTGTCGCGATTGCGGCAGCTGCTATGGAGGAGCTGGAGTCCACCCTCGTCGACACCCTGACTCAGCTGGAGCGCTCCTCGCCCGGAACCCCTGGTGCGCGCAGTATCCTGCCGTGCCTCATGCATTGCTCCCAGCAACCTGCCGATCCGTTTTGGCCCAGCGTTGTTGACGAGGAGGAAGGGCCCCATACAGTTGTTGTCAGAACTTATGCTGTGGCCGAACCTTTCACACTGCTGTGGCGCATGCCCCGGCATCGGTCATCCCAGGTCTGTGCACAGGTGTGAACCTTCTGTTCTGCTCGTTGGGTCGGTGTGACGGCTGCAGCATGTGCGGGCTGAGGCGCTGGTGGTTGGATGAAGTGCAGACGGGGACGTGGCCTGAAGACAGGTGCACGGTGTGGGCGCAGGGGAGAAGGGCGAGGCGGCGCGCGCTGACTGGGCGCACGTGTTCCTGTCGGTGCTGCCGCAGCTGCCGCTGAACGCGCCGGCCGACGAGGGCCGCGTGGCCGTGGCACTGCGAGCGGCCGGCGCGACTGTGATGGCCCGTTACGGCGCCGGACTGCGCCGCTCGGCTGTCGCGCAGTGGGAGGTTCGCCTGCCCGTCCCGGACGCCAGTGGCGCCTGGCGCCTCGTCGTCTCCTCCCCCACAGGTGACCCCCCTGCACCTGCCATCCATCTATAAGGACTTTTGTCAAGATGAGAAGATTTCACCTATGGGCAGCAAACAGTTTCCCAAAGTAGTCGAGCTGTTGGTAGCACGTTATTTGGATATGCTCTTCACAAAGACCAGAGACAGCAAAAAAGTGTTCTCGCCCTTTCCACATGGTTGCACCTGTATATCCCAGTACGCGGAGTACTAAATGGCCCTGAGCACCCACATTTGCTGGGCCAGTACGTCAGCACGTCCTCCCAGGACGAGCACTGAAGTACTAACATCTTGTAAAATGGAGTACTGGTGCAACCCTGCCCTGGCACCCTCTTATCAGCACGCTGCCCCCACCCGTTGCTGCCGAGTCACGCACACTTCGTGTCAGGCTTGCCTCGGGAAGGGCCGCAGCAGACTGCGGGACCTTGATGTCCGCTTTATGTTTGCAGAAGCACAATGCAGTGTCTACTGCATGATCGTGGCATTCAAGTCCACCCGCAGAGCGAGTGCACCACCATGGGCTGGGCAGGGCTCTTCTAGGGTGCCGGTGGCCTGGCCTGACGGACATGCATGTTTGCAGGGCACGAGATCGGGGAGGACAGCGTGCAGATATACCGCGAGGTGCTGCACCCCAGCGGCGAGCTGATTTACCAGTCGCGCCACGGCAAGCATGAGGGCGCCGGGCCGCTGCACCGGCAGCCCATCCTGGCACCCTACCCGCCGCTGGAGGGTCTGCAGCAGAAGCGCCTGGCCGCGCGCCGCCACAAGACCACCTACGCCTACGACTTCCCCACCGTCTTCGGCAACGCGCTGCGCGAGCTGTGGACCGCGCGCGCCATCGCCGGCGAGCCATGCGCCGCCCCCAAAGGTGCGCGCCTGCCGCCACCGGGACGTGGCCACCCCGTGAACCCACCCCGATCATTGACAGCACTGGCCTGCGGCTGAGCACCACCTCCAGCATGTGGTTACCAGCCTAAAAGTATCTTTATGTGTCTACTTACAAGCATTGCAGAATGTCACTCGAAGTTGGTGGGTCAGACGCTGTGAGCTTCCAGCCTCTGTATTTCAGCAGTCTGCAATCATCAGTGCTGCCGAACATAAAGACACAATCCAGCAGGGTGAAGTCAGTTATGGTTTTCCTCATCAGTCCCCCTGCACAGGGATGGTTGGACAGCTCATGTTGTGGGATGCACAACCTTGAGTCCCTTGTCAGCCACCAGCAGCTCTCTTTTCACGCCAATCAGGCCATTCTGGACCTGCATTCCCGTGGTCTCCAGAGCTCTTTGTAAGTGAATTGCATGATGTCGGAAGTGATGGAGGCTCTACACTTCTTCAGGGTATCCACACCCACCACCGATGCAGACACCTCTGCGTGCTGGGCACATTGATGAAGTCTTGGTGCATGTCATGCAGGCCGACTGGTTGAGGTTGAGGAGCTGGTGATGCCGCCGGGGGGCACCCACCAGGCGCCCAAGCCGCTGGTGGCAGTGACTCGCCCCGTGGGCCAGAACGATGTCGGCATGGTGGCCTGGACGCTCACCATGAAGACCCCCGAGTGCCCCCAGGGGCGCAAGGTGCGCGCCCAAGCACCTTTTTTATGTGCCTCTCGGTTTGCATGCCCATTATATGTAACAAGCTCTTGCCATAGCACCCAGGACACCTGTTTGCATGGTGCCCCTTTCTTTGTGTCACTTGTTTTGCATGTACAACATATACAACAAGCTCTTGCCACCCGGAACACCAATTTGCATGGTGTGCTTGGGGCAAGAAGGATAATTGAGATCCTTTCAGCCCTTCCGTATCCAGCTATTTGTCTGGCTTCGGCCAGGCAACAGTCTCCTTGAGGCGCTCTTTGCATGCTCCTGCTTGCGTGGCGGCTGCCGAGACAGGATGTGCAGCAGCGCCTGCGGCTCGACCGTGTTCTATTGAGTGTTGCCGGATATTGCGTTGCGCACCTCAGCGTCCTACCGGCAGGTCTAGTAACTTGTATGAGGGTGTGTGTGAAGCCTGGTGCCTCCTAGCGTGCAGGCATGCAGGGGCAATGTTTGCTCGACAGATTCCATTGCCGCCCGGCATCTGCGGAGCAGAAGCTTCGTACAACCAGATCAATTCACTGTGACCCTTACAACCGCTTGCCTGAGGTGCTTGGTGCATTTGCAGATCGTGGCGGTCGCGAACGACATCACCTTCAACAGCGGCGCGTTCGGCACCAAGGAGGACGCCGTTTTCCGCGCGGCGACCGAGCACGCGCTCGAGGAGAAGCTGCCGCTGATTTACCTGGCGGCCAACGCCGGCGCGCGCGTCGGGCTGGCCCAGGAGGTCAAGCAGTGCCTGCAGGTGACTCACCACAAGTGGCTTTAAAAATTTTTCAGAGTTTCTGATTTTATTTTTTGAGTGTTAGGGTTTTAGGGTTTGTTTTTTGGGTTTAGGAAAATAGCACTCATGTCAAGATGTGCAATGGATGGTTGGGTGGTTGCACAAGGATAGGCTGGCTTGCAGCATCGGCTCTACCATGGAAGCACAGCATCAAACCTCCTGTGTGCGAGGGGTTTGAATCCAGCGCATTGAACAAGATTTTCCAGGACTCTGCATTCAAGATCTCCTTGAGCAATGAGTGCCGTCTGCTGTATGCCTGCAACTGATACTAGGTGGTCGTAGAGCCTTCTCTGTCCTCGCTGGATTTCCACAAAGCCTGTCATTATTGAGCGGCTCCCGTGTGGTTCTGCTTGACCTGAGGGCGAGGCAAGCCTTCGCAGATTTCAAACGTCGTCGCGGCTCGTGTGTGAGAAAGCTCTGGTCACCAAGGGCCTAGTCATGCTACTGCTCAAGAAGCACCCACTCGGCACCCACTCAGTGGCAGGCTGACCTGACTTGGCATGGATTTCACCATGCGCGGCCAACTAAATTGACTGAGCAAAATTTTGTTTGCGCACAGGTGGAGTGGAACAACCCAGCCGACCCCACCAAGGGCTACAAGTTCCTCTACCTCTCCGACGCCGACTATTCCTCCATTGCAGCGCGCGCCGACACCGCCGTCCTCAAGGCAGAGCCCTTCTTTGCAGACAACGGTGCGTGCTTCTTCCCGGCATCACACCTTGCTCTTCCTGACCACAGTGCTGCACAAGTCGCATCCACATATTCACTCTGAGGCCCTCTTAGTTGCTTTGACAGCCCCCAAGGGATTGGGCAAAGTGGTTTAGGGCTAGGGGCACAGTGTCAGGGCAGCCCCGGGATATAAATGAGATTTGGCGCAATGGCGCCAGGGCAACACCCTGATGCCACATGGCTGTGACTCAGGGGATTTTCCAGGCAACTTGAAATATATAGAGGCCAAGTTCAGGAAGAAAATCCTGCATCTCCTTGGTCAGAATCCTTCGGAATGTCAGGGATACCCTGAGATTCCAGCTACCACTGCGGCTCGCCCTTGCCCTACTTAGGGGCTGGCCTGGGGATTATTTGGACCCCTGTCAAAGCCTGCCTCCCAGCATGATCCTACTCCATGGGTCCACATGTTTGCCTCTGGTGTGTCCTGGATCCTGAGTGGTGGCTCAGTGGCCAGGGTCAGGTTGGTCCGATGCTTGGATTGCATTTTTTAAGAGCTGCCATAAAGCCTGGCCAGGACACACTGGCTCTAGGTCAGGTGCAGCCCCACTACTATAGCAGTCATATCAAATCCGCACCCTCGGCGGTGCCATGATTTTTCAGAGCAACTTTTAGGGGTCTTCCTGACTTCAAGTATACCAGGGTCGTGCTCCAATGGTTTGGGCTTGTTGAGAGCTTTCCGAATCGGGTCTCAAAATTCTTATAGGTTTGATATTTTTGGGAGATAGGGTTTTATTTTATCCTCACTTTTTGGCCAAAAAACAATTATTATTCGCGGGTTCTAGAATAAGTACTACAGTAGGTGCCGCCTGTCCGACTGTGGCAGTAGGAATGCGCACGGGAGCAGCAGGGCGGAGGGCCCAGTGAGCTGTGGCCGTGTCCAATGCGGTTTTGCACGCGCGTGGTCTTCAGGTGCCATGAAGGTGCAGCAGGTCCAAACTGGGTTAGTTCCCAAAGGTTCAAGTATCCATGGCCTGGTCATGCACCCATGTTGTGCTCTCTGAATGTCTTTTTGCGCTGCAGGCGAGCGGCGCTGGCGGCTGACAGATGTGGTGGGCGCGGAGGATGGCTTGGGAGTGGAGTGTTTGAGCGGCAGTGGCGCGATAGCTTCCGCGTACGCGCGCGCCTTCCGCGACGGCTTCACGCTGACTCTCGTCTCTGGCCGCACCGTTGGCATCGGCGCCTACCTCGCCCGCCTCGGCCGCAGGTGCGACACCGCAGATTCTGCGGTGAAGGCAGGACATAAGCAGGGTTTTTTCAATCGTTCTGACCAAGCAAGGGGAGGGAAGATATTCAGTTGGTGGTCCTGTTTGCAGCCTTCAGTCGAAGCTGTCCTCAAGTTTGACAGACAAGAGGGCTGTAGGGCAATGCAGGAGGCATGCATGGTTCACAATGGCACAATGCGTCTGCAGCAGCTTATATTCAACAAGTACCTGCTGTACAAACCCCACGAGGGCCGTGCCAGTACTCGGTGTGCGTGGCGCAGGTGCATCCAGCGCGCGGACCAGCCGATCATCCTGACGGGCTACGCGGCGCTGAACAAGCTGCTGGGCCGCGAGGTGTACACCAGCCACATGCAGCTCGGCGGACCCAAGGTCATGGCCGTCAACGGCGTGAGCCACCACGTGGTCGAGGACGACCTGGCCGGCTGCGCGGCCGTGCTGCAGTGGCTCTCCTTTGTGCCTGCAGTGCTCGGCAGCCAGCCGCCCACGTTGGTCGGCTCCGACCCTGTCGAGCGCCCCATCGTCTACGCGCCCGGGCCAGGTGCGCTGTGCTGGCCTCTCCAGTCTGCGCGGCCCATAGGACAGGGGTGGGGGTATATCACAAATTATATACTGTAGTGCTCAACCTAAACTGCGCACCCTGGAAAAAGTGATTTATTAAACAGCTTCCCGCAGGGCTATTTTCTTGATCAAAAACTTTGTTATGTGCATTAAGTACGTCCCCAAAAGATGCGCCTGCTCAAGAGCTTTCCAAATCCGCCTTCAGATCTTAAATAGGTTAAGTATTTCAGGAGTTAGGGTTTTATTTTCGACCCTTTTTTCAATTTTTACAATTATTTTCCGCGCAGTTTAGGTTGAGCACTACAGTACATACTTATAAATTATATCTATATTTACAGGGCTTCCTAGAGGGAGAAAATGGCTCCAACCCTATCACGAGCACAGGTTATACGCACAGCACCATCACACTACAACTGCTCCCCACTAACGACCCTCGTAAGCGGCGGCAGCGCTCGCTTGTATCCGCACGGCTGGGATTGATGCCGTGTGACGCGCTGCGCGCAGGCGAGAAGCTCGACCCCCGAGCGGCCATCGCGGGCCGTAGCGCGTCGGCGGCTCCGCCCACGAGCGGCGAGCCATGGGCCAGCGGCCTCTTCGACCGCGGCTCCTGGATCGAGTGCCAGTCCGGCTGGGCGCGGAGCGTGGTGACCGGGCGCGCGCGGCTTGGGGGCGTCCCCGTCGGAGTCATCGCCGTGGAGACGCAGACCGTCATGCTCAACATCCCCGCCGACCCCGGCGCCCCCGACTCCTCCGAGCGCATCATCCCCCAGGTGCAGGGTCCCTCACTGCTCAGTGGAAGTGCCTGCATCAGTGTTTGATGGCTTTGAGCGCCAAGCAGCTTCGTGAGTGACCCCATACCTTTGCACAAATGTTTGTTACCAAAATAATTAGTCTTTCGCATAGCGGCATCATTGATGGGCAGCTTGGATGTCAGGCATGGCTGTCGAGATCGATGTCTTGGCCATGACCGTCCTTGTGCGCATCAAACAGGCAATGGCAGCGCGTGATACCGGGGGCTGGGAACTTGCTTGCTTGTTTGCATGGGCTGGCCAGCTATCACTACTGGCCTGTCTCAGACATGCGCAGGCTGGCGTCACTCAATTGCCCGGCATATACTTTATATTGGCAGTGGTGCTCGCGCAGGCTGGGCAGGTGTGGTTCCCAGACAGCGCGCTGAAAACGGCGCACGCGATGGAGGAATTTGACCGTGAGGGCCTGCCGCTTTTCATCCTCGCCAACTGGCGCGGATTCTCTGGCGGCCAGCGCGACCTCTTTGAGGGCGTCCTGCAGGCGCGCTTCCCGGCCTTTTCCCCTTTCCCTCCCACCTCGTTTTTCCGCTGGAATCAACCGCTTTCTGGCCGTCTTGGTGGCGATGGCATTTCTTCCTGCCTAGCTGCACCATGCAGTTGCACGGCAACCATGCAATGGCAGTGATCTCATGGGGCCAGCAGAGGACGCGTGTTTGCGGTGGGTGTGTCACAGCCTGGCAAGCTTTCCCTCGCTGGATACATCTGCCGTTTCTTTCATGCAGTCCTGCAGGGAGGCCTGTCGGCGGTGGAGTGCGGCTTGCTGTCACACCCGTGAAGTGCTGCCCTGAACCTCGCTGTGTGCGCGCAGGCCGGCTCGCTGATTGTGGAAGCGCTGCGGACCTACAGGCAGCCGGTGACTGTGTACCTGCCCCCGGGAGCAGAGCTCAGGGGTGGCGCCTGGGTCGTCGTTGACGGCCAGATCAACGCCGAACAGGTGTGTCTCAAGGTTTAGCACAGGCGTGTCATACATGGATTGAGATTATGCAGAAAGCGACTGCCCATTTTAAGGTCACTGAAAGCGCCAATCTTGCAGTGACATAAGCGCGAGTCCGCCCTCTCAATGTCAGCTGCCTGAGCAGAAGCGTATTGGTTGTGGGGGGTACATTGCCTTCACACTTTCACGCGTGCCCGGGCGCCAGTAGAGCAGACTCTGTAGACTCAGCAGAGCAGCCGCAGCAGCAGCATTTAGTGCTATGCCAGCCTCTCTGCGCTGCAAAACCCGGCTTACATTTACATTTAGGGTGTGTATTTAGGGTTGGGTTGGGTTGTATATGTGAGGGTTTCAGGGTGAGAATAGGATATAGGATACAGGGTAAAACATAAAAACAAACCCTAAGTATGGGGTACAGCATGCAGTGGGTGTCGGCGGTGAAGTGTCGCCCAACTGACTGTGGAGACTCTTCTGTGGTGCAGGTTGAGATGTATGCGGACCCGGTGGCGCGTGGCGGAGTGCTCGAGCCGGAGGGGATCGTGGAGATCAAGTTCCGCGCGCCAGACCTGATCAAGGCCATGCACCGACTCGACCCGGTCATCGCGCGCATCAAGGCCGAGGACGGACCCAACTCGGAGGCGGATCTGCGCGCCCGCGAGGCCGCGCTGCTGCCCGTCTACCGCCAGGTGCGCAGCCCTGAAATAAATTAAACAAGGTTCATCTGCAAAACCCTCGACAACGTCGTAGCCTCCTAATAGATCGCAGTGCTTGAGGTCCTGAATTATTTATTTATATATTATTTATATCTTTACCCTGACGAAGCCTGGTGCGCGATTAAGGAGGCAGAGGTCAGGCATGCCAGAGGCGTGGTGGACCTTGGAGAAATTGGAAATAGCCAAAAAGTGGCGCTAGCGGCCATTTATCGAAATCTGGTCTGTGCAGGTGGCGGTGGCGTTTGCAGAGATGCATGACACGCCTGTGCGCATGGTGGCCAAGGGCGTTCTGCACGGCATTGTGCCCTGGCCTCAGGCCCGCTGCTTCCTCGCCACGCGGCTGCGGCGCAGGTGCGGCCAGACGCCAGCCGTGCTCATGACCGAACTAGCCGTGAATCTACCACTGTAGTACTCAATCTCAAACTCGCACCTCCAGCGACGCAAAATTTTTTTTTTGGGGTCCTCCTGATTCTAGAATAAACAAAGTCACGCTTAATCGGATTGGGCTCGTCAAGAGCAGGTCTCAAAGTTTTCGGTAGGGGTCAATATATAGGAGATGAGGCCGCAATTATCCACCCTTCTTGGCCAAGAATAGTTACTTGTTCCTGCTTTCAGAGTGAGTACCACAATTCCCATCCAGATGGCCGCACGAAGGAGGGCTGGATTGTGCGTATCGGGCCCTGTTGAGCTAGACGAGGATGAGGCTAGACTTGTGTTGTGCCAGATGCCGCTCCCGCGGTGCCGCTGGCCTGCTCTTCACCGCAAAATTCACCATTTGCGTGTACGCAGGCTGGCAGAGGAGGAGATCATCAAGCACATCACGACGACGGACGGCGCAATCAGACGCTCGCAGGCGCTTGGCCTGCTCCGCTCCTGGTACCTCGGCATGCCACATGTCAAGGGCTCGGCCGCGCCGGCCGGCCCGGCCCCCGGCGTGGTGCTGGACCTTGCTCGCAGCGCTGCGGACGAAGGCGAGGCGCGCGCGTGGGCCGACGACGGGGCCTTCCTGGCCTGGGCCGAGGGCGGCGGCGGCGCTTCGATCATTGCCGCTGAGCTCAAGGTGCGCCATGCGTCGCACGCGAATCTGGGAAAAATGCAAATCCGAGGTAAATGTGAATCCGAAAGAAGAAAAAGAGCCACGCATGGACCCGCCTGGGTGCTTCCTGCACCTGGCGGGAAGACGGAGGCTGGCTGTGAACAAGAAGGGTGCTTGCCGCTGTGAATATATCGTCAGCGGTGATGCAGTGGGATGACATGGGATGCCTCGAGCATGCTCGTTTGCGCTGGCAGTGGCAGAAAGGAACTGATGATTCTGCTGAGCCCTGTGCACTCTGGGAGCAGGGCGCTGTGCTGCTTGTGTGTGTGCTGCATCGCGTGTGCATCCAATCCAACCCCTCCTTACATGCGCATCTGACCATACCCTCTCTGCCAGTAAACTTTGCATCACTGCAGTGGTTTCATTCGAGCTTGCCCACAACTTGTTGTTGGCTGGTGCCCACCCTTGACAAGGGGCTCATGGCACAATGGGCCTCAACTTCATGTGGTGACGCGCAGGCGTTGCGAGCTGCCGCGGCAAGCAGGGCAGTGCAGAGCCTTACCAGGAGCGTGGAGGGACGAGATGGTCTGCTGAGTGCACTGGAGCGTGCCATCAAAGACGACGCGCCTCTGCGCTTGCAGCTCGAGCTGCTGTTGAGGCCAGCGATGGCAACACTGCCACGTAAACCGCGCGAGCATTGATGCCGTGCACAAAGGACACTCTGGAATCTTTGAGTCTTGAATACTGCGATGCAGCGTTTAAGAATTGGCACTTGTGTAATCTGGATGTCTTGCAGAGACAAGGCTGGCTTTGTTCTTGCGGGCGCCATGAAAAGCAGTGCTGCCAACAGCCGCCCAGGAGCGCATATGAGGGCTATTTTTTTACTGGCAATTTTATCATTTACCTGCCTCCATACCGTAGACTCTACCTGGAGGTTGTCTAGAGACGTACCTTGCCCTCTGCGCCCAGTTGGGTTGAAGCACCCTTCACTATTTACGGTATATGACGAGCGTTTCAGCCTCACAAAGAATACGACCGCAGCCAATACTCTGGATACTATCACGCCTAGTAGGTGAGAATACTTTGGGCTCCTCTATGTGTCAGCAGCAGTGCGCATTGTCAAGCGTCCTTGTCTCTCAGCCACCAACTTGAAGGTTTAATTATGAAGTTCATGATACCCTCGTCCCATCTTGGCAAGGGTTCCTCACACTCGCCTATTCTAAGGAACACTTAAGTGTCTGGGACCAGGCCTCCTAGGCCTAATTGAAGTCCGACTCGGAGTCCGTGCTCTTTGAATTGCTAATCGTATACAAGTTGGTGGCACTGCCTACTTGGTGCCTACAAGACCATCATGATGAACTGCAGCCTGAATCACGTGGCCACATGCATGGTACTGCATACTGTAATAGACAATAATCAGTACTGTTCAGCAATTTTCGAGGGACAAGGAGGCCTCAACGAGACTGGTCGAGAATACTCTTGCTTGTTGGGCAACTTGCAATTGATTTGTAAGCAACACCAGCAGCATGCGCGTACATGCACACACAATGGCTGCAGGCTGCGCAGGCATGCCACGGTAATCAATTGCATTGGGTGTCCCACTTTGAAGCGCCAGCAATTGGCTTTAAGAAAGAAATCACATGTGCAGGTAGCCACATATGCGATATCCGACTCAGCCCTTTAAAGAAATTTCCAGCACATGAACGCCCAAAACACCCATTCAAGAGAGCTCACATTGGACTCCAGGAAAGGGACGAACCAGATTATAAGAACCAAAACTGGTAGCCTTAATATATATAACCTTAAGTGGGCCTCTCCGGGGGCCGCGATGATCAAGATTGTCAAGAATGTCCTCGACTAGCAAAATTTCAAAGTCGACGGCAACGTGCACGTGGACCCCTCGGAGGGGTCAATCAACAAGTAGTTTGGTGCGTGCTTTGGCCTAGAGGTATTAGCTACTAGCTAGTTAGTAAGCACAGCCGACCGCGGTAGCCACTGGCAATCATAGTTGAAAATGCACATTTACTTGTCTCCAACGTAACGGGTAGACCCTAGGAGGATTCTGGCTTAGTCCTACCTTGTTGCCAGCTTTAGTGCCAATGCCCCCACTAAAGCAACAAGGTTCGGTCAAGGTAGCTTAGTCCCGGTACAGCACTAAGGTCTGGCCATCCAGGCTTAGTCCCATGGATAAGGGCCAACTAAGGTGGACGTACCTTGATTGCACTCTTTGCACGGTGGCGCAATGTGCTCAGATATCCAGTGCCCCAGATAGGCGAGCCAGAAGGGTGGTTGTTTGATGGGTATCCCATTCAGAGCATGCTAGATGTGTATGCACATGGCATGGCTCACGAGCTAGTTATTATTATTATTATTATTATTATTATTTCACGCTCTTCCTGCCGAAGGCAAGGTGCGTCCGACGAGTCGAGACAGAGTCTGCAGACAAGCTGCATGTAAAGGCTGCCAAATTCTGGCAGATCCAAGCAAGACCCAATCAACCGTGGGCACGGTGCTCAGTATTTGTAACGCCCCCCGCCAGCCGGGGCCAGTACAGCTAGCGGGGCCATTACAGCTCCGAGCTAGTACACTGCATAATAAATGCATGCTGCAGGCTGGACGCCCAGAAGCGTATAGATGCCGCCGGGCAGTGTTCTGAGGTCTTCCAGTGTTTGAGTGGCAACATCTTTGGCCACATGCATTGTGAGGGAGAGGGCTCAGGATGGGCAGACACTTAGTTCCCGGTGAGCCTTGAGGAGGCATGGAGAGAGCATATTGAGCGCAAGTCCATGACCTACTAGGTCAGCACTGTAGTACAGTGCCGACTGATTTCTGTTGAGTGCCACTATGTGTGTGAGAGTGATGTGTTTGAGGGAATTCCTATCGAGCTCAGCTGTGTGAAGAGAGAGACCAGTCATTCATTGTCAAGTATTTTAGAGTCCCATGTGTGCCGATGTCGATTTCAGATAGTTGTATAATTGTACTATACTTGTAGAATATCAATTTGTCGGACCATAGTTCGCTTCTGGCTCAACTGAGCCCAGTCCTACTAAGGCCCTGATCCAGAACTAATCCAGCACTAAAGAAAAGCCTGTCTTAGTACCTATATACTATCTAGTAGATATATTCCGCTCTGACTGTAGTTGCCTAAATAGCACCACCAAGGTTGCACTAAGACTAGGTTCCAACTAAGGTGGCCAAATCGCTAAGCATTTGTTCTCCTGCACTACGTAGACCTGTAGGCTGCAAGGGTGCATTTGCGAGTTGACAAGGCTGCAAGCCTGTGGCCGGGTTCCGGCTGCAGACGGACCTGTGTATGCCCTATGGCCCTCTCGGCTCTGGGTTCGCCATTCATACATATACTATGTATGAATGGCGAATGACTATAAATTATTATTATTATTATCATTATCATGCATGTCATATGACGGGATTAGGGTTGCATTGATGGTAGCAATGACTAATATGATGCATTGGATCATATAAACTATGATATATCATAGTTTGCCAGAATGACAGCAACTTGCTGAACAAGTGCCACCTGCTCACCCCTTCCATGGCACGGAAGGGTGAAGAAGCATACAGACAAGGCCAATACTATGATAGTGGCCCACTCCGGGATTGAGATCGCTGCAAGCGGCGTACGTATGCATGTTTCGCATATCATTTGCAAGCTGTCAATTCCAGAGTAGTTGCACTGGTACTACTACCGTAGTAGTTTGTACATATTGTAAATATGATAATGGACTCAGTCATCTTAGCCGAGTCAGTGACACTCAGAGCTATATAAGGAACGCTCAATATTGATCTATATATTCTTGTTATTATTACTCGCTTTTCCTGCCAACAGGCAAGGTGCGTTCTGCAGACAAGCTGCATTCAAAGGCTCCCATAATCCTACCCCTTTTGTTGGACTCGCCAGATCCAAGCAAGACCCAATCAACCGTGCGCACGGTGCTCAGAATTTGCACCGTCCCTCGCCAGCCGGGGCCAATATATATATACACATCAGTATGGCCATCCAATGATTTTTTTAGGGGTTTTAAAATTTTCAAAGCCAATATGGCTTTTAGGAAATATTTGGGGCAGATTGTGGCCATTGAAGGAATTTTGGGAGATGTTTGCTTGGAAGCCACAAATTGGCCTTTACCAATATTCCACCCGGAATGATTGCCACAGTGTGGATGATTAGGGATGACCTGGACTCCATTGGATTGACATACCATTGGTGGCGAAAGTGCCAAGACAGAGAGAGTTTAACCAGGCTGGAGAGCAGGGTTTGACAGGGGTCCTAGAAAATGTCTGGCCAGCCCCTAAGTAGGGCAGGGGCGGGCGGAGGCTTTGCCCCCGCCTGCCGCAGTAATAGTAGCTGAAACTTTGGGGCATCCCTGAGGTTCCTAAAATTTTTCAACAGGGAGAAGCAGATTTTCCTTTTAAGCCGGCCTGCAAGTGATTCGTATTGCCTGACAAGTCAGGGGAACCCCCAAGTCACAGCCACGTGGATTTCTCGGCGTTGCCCTCATGCCATTTGGCCAAATCTGAAATTATCCCGGGGTTGCTCTGAAAACTTGCCCCTAGCCCTGGAGCAGCTTGGCCAATCCCTTGGGGGGCCGGCCTGGGGGGCTTTTAAACCCTGCTGGAGAGGAATTACTGTGAGGTTGCTACGAACAACGTTGTTAACACTGTTGATCGCACCTAGCCAGGTGTAATAGGCAAGCGTGTAATAATAATATATTATAATATATCACAACCGCGCAAAAGCCACATTTTCCCCCTTGTAGCTGAATGTCCCCAAAACCAATCTGAGCCAAAAATCTCTTCAATCTCCTATCTTCAGCCTCATGCATTTCGGTGGTTTCAGAACTTGACTGACAAAAATTGACTGACTGATTGACTGACTTCTGAACATGAATGCTCTTTCAAGGACATTTTCAAAGCCACATTGCCTTTCAGCTGAAAATTTTATAAGAAACACTGACATAGATTTGCTACAAACCTTGAAAGGCTACTTACGAATTATTTTTCCATCATTAAATTCCTATTTCTGGCAAGTTCTATTCCTGTAAGCTATATACCGTAGAGCTAATACGTAGCATAATAATAATAATAATAATAATAATAATAATAATAATAATAATAATAATAATAATAATAATAATAATAATCATAAACTTAATCTTTATGAGTGGCGAACCTAGAGCCCAGGGCCATAGGGCATACACAGGTCCGTCTGCAGCCGGAACCCGCCGGGTGGCCGATATGCACAGGCTTGCAGCCTTGTCAACTCGCAATTGCACCCTTGCAGCCTACAGGTCCACACCCCCTTCTTACACAAATGTCGAGGGGTCGTCCCTAGCAAACCGCTCGAAATTTCGGGATGGATTTCGACAGCGACGATGCGGGTGTCTCAGGAGCGGCCGCAACGCCGAATCATTCGCCGATTTATGGGGATACATGATGTACCCGAAAATCGATCCAAAAAAAAGTCCCAGTGTTTTTCCTGGGGATCGAACCTGGGAGCGTGGCCTAGCATAGCTAGTATTATTATTATTGTTATTATTATTACACGCTTTTCCTGCTCAAAGCAAGGTGCATCTGCAGACAAGCTGCAGCAAGGCTGCCAAAATTCTACCCGTTGATGGACTCGACATGTCCAAGCAAGACCCAATCAACCGTGGGTTATACAGTAATTGTGACAATATATTAGCTATGCTAATATTTATAAGCTATTAGGTAACCTTCCGTCATGGTGTGGATATTCCCATCAAATGATGTCACGGTTTAAGATCAATCAGTTTTCTGGACCCATAAACAGGAAACCGTCAGGAATGGTGAAATTTTCACGTTTGAAGGCCAGGCTTGCGACTCAATTTGATGCATATGTAATGAGATGCAATCAATGCGTCATGCTCCGAGCAAGCAAGCTTGAGTCAACCTTGAACTGCAAACTTGAAATTTGATCGTTGAATAGCATTAAGCATGCATCAAAGACCTCATTTCAAGTTACGAGCCCCATATATATTACATTTGCTTGGCATCATACCCCTCACATATGCATGAGCCTTTGGATTGCATGAAGTTGAAATAATTGATGTGTCTCAAGGCACTGACAGGCTGTTCTTGGATATCTGCCATGTCATAGCAGCCTGCCTTCATTATATCTAAGGAGTCAAAGTATGTACCACCGAGCATCCGACAGCTGACTGGGTTGGTGTTGTGGTACAAAGCGCAAACATCTATGGGATGGCTTGTGTACTTCCAGCCAGCTCTAACAAGGTCCTCTAGAAGAGCACCATCGTGGCAAGAAGTCTTGCAATGCCCATCATAATGTTCGAAATTCCATCCCTCCGCACGATACTTGGGAGCGTTAAAGATGATGCCACCCAAATCTGAATATGATACTTTCGGCGCTGCATGTGTGCATCTGAGGTCATTGAACCGCACACAACAATGTTCAAGCGGCACGCCAGCCACGGTAGCATTTGTGCCTAGCACCTCATTGATGGCCGTGTAGCGCCCATAGAAATTCATCAAAACTATGTCGTACTCACTGGGTAGGTAATTAAGCGCATCAGGGGCATAGAAATTGTCGCCGTTGGTCACCATGAACCAATCAAATTCCTTGGAGGAACAATGCCGCTTAATGATCTCATCGGTCGCCTTGTACCCAGCATTCCTCCAAGAGAAACCTTCGAGAAAATTGGCTGGCAGATCCACGCCATGGATGCGATCATCATGAATGTCGGCAATCACATGCGGGAGGTCAGGAAATGGTTTATCGTCTACCCTAGACACAAATGCCTGCCAGTTTTTGTACTCCAGGCTTTGCAGAGACGATAGAAGTTGGTACAAGTTGTGCTGGCCAGAAAAGTGGTCTTGGTGAGTTCTGACAATTATGCACACGTTGCCACCCTGACCACCAATCTGGCGCTCCTTGGGCGTGGGCACCCCAGCGCGGCGCAAAGGCACAGATGCAGCAAATCCGTTTGGTCGCAATGTAGCAAACTCACCCCTTGCCTCTTCTAGAATGGCATCTCGGGTGGCCTCAAGCCATCTTCTTCCCCACTGCAAGCTTGGTTCAATAGACGCACCCTCCCCCCATTCGTTCCAGGCATTCACAAAGACAAACCCTCCTGGCTTGGTCCGAGCAAGGTTCTGCCTCAATACATACTTGTACACACTTGGGTGCCCAATCCTAAAGGAGTACTTGCCATCCGTGGCATGCCGAGGTGTGTTATCCCATCCACAGTGCGCTCCATAATAATGCACATCGCCATGCTTAGGGGAGGACACAACCTCATTGACAGGCCACTGAGGACCGTTGTAAAGGTTTGGGTAATATTCCACAACCCCATCCACTCCTGGCTGTTGTTCCAACGCGTCTGGTGTCCATTTCACACCGTTCATTTGAATGACATGCAGGCCATCAAATCCTGCTCGCAGTGCTAGTGCTCTCCATCTTTTCAACAGTGCTTGCAGCGAGGGAATGTCAGATGCTCTGTACAGGAGTAGCAACGGTTTGTTGTGCACTAAGATGTACTTTTCATGGCGAAAGAATTGCAGCAACCACTTCCAATGTGCATCCCAGCTGTTTGATTTGTATGTCTGCTTTAGGTACACCTCACTGCCGTCCAACCCATCCCACCTGGGCGTCAGTGAAGACACACAAACATTGCAACCCAGGTCTAGGGAAACACATTCTACCACCCAAAGCCTTGTATAAATCACGAAGACGACATCCATCGCAACTTTAAAGTACTTGGCTTTGGTTGCGACAATGCGCACCTCTTCGTCCAGTGCTCATTTGCCCACATCAAGCAGAAGTGCACATTTGGGTGCCCGTCTTTTAGCATCAGCTGCAGAGGTTTGTCCATTACTGGACCGTTCGAGAACCAGTAATGCATATACACGAAGCCGTAAATGCCATATTTGCGCGCCAGCTCTCCTTGGAACTTTCTTTGATGCTCATCAGTCAGATCATAGAAGCCGTTCCTTTCTGAAGGTCTGATTATCGGGTGGCCATGAGCTGCTCTGTGTACTTTCGCCACATTCGTGAAATCTGTGAAGCCCTTTCCCCATGCTTTGTTATTTTCTTCAACCTCGTGATATTGCGGGAAGTAAAACACCAATACTCGCTTTCCGCTGTAGGTTTTTGCGTTACTCGCTTGTATTTGTCGAATGCGGTCAAAGCTGTTTGCCAATGTCTGACACAACAGTAAGGAACTGAGGAAGAACAAGAATAAATGCAGATTATTCTTGCTACCACCTTTTCTGGAAATCATCACGGAACTCTGCAATATGACATTCGCATCACGACCCGATTCACCCTCCGCTTGTGTAGTTTGCTTTATCACGTTGCGTTGCACTCTCAGGTGCTCGGCATAATACACGGAGAATCTGGCTTATGAAAGGTTACGGAGTGTTGTGGAGTATTATGCACCGTAGAGGTGATTTGGACCATTTTTGTCGACATATCATGGACCCTGAAGCCTTCTATGATACAGATCCCCCTGTCTCGACGGGGCCCCAGAAACGGGGCACATACAACAGCAACGTAAAGAATACCCTACACACATGATCATAACTCCCACAAGGGACGGATGCAAATCACAAGCAACGTGTCATGCAACCCTTCAGGTATCCGATATGATATGACTCATGATCTCAAAGAGGTGATATAGCTAGTAGCTAGGCCATGTATCTCGCAACGGAAGAGGCTCAGGATTGGCACGCATAAGCAGCTTCCGTCCGAGGTCCATTCATATTCGTGAAGCTTGAAAGACACTCAGCGAGGCTATTTTAAAGTCATTCTGACTACTTTGGTGAGCGAATTAACTTTTTACCCGGCGCATCATTTGGCGCTGATCGTCTCCGGTGATGGTAAGGGGCCTATTACTATCTTGATGAAAGGCTCGCCGGAAACCATTGCAAAGGATGATGTTGAAACTGCCAAATGTAAAACTACCAATCTTGCAGGCCCAACCGTCCGGGACGCAGTTCAGGTGGCACTTACATGCAATTTTTCTCCTGTGCCTGGGAGTGAGCTCGTTGAACGCCGCGTGTCTTGAAGGAGCGTGGAGAGATGGAGGGTGGTTTTCAAACAATTGCAGCCTGCCTACGGCGTCTGTTGCCAGCACAGAATGCTTGTCCACACAAAACGTTCTGTTTCTGGGTGGATCTAGTACCCGAGTGTTCTTCCACAGATTCATCGTTCACCTTGGTATGACATGGCCATCGCATCACCCGTGCAACCTTGAGATGGGATGGGGTTGCTTTGATTGCGCTCGTGGATGTCACAGTGCACATTATAATAATAAAATTGGCCGCGCCTATGACTGGGAAGACATGTTTGTCGAAACAGCCAAAGGGAAACTAGTACAATTTTCTTGGAAACCTGATATGCTCACGTTAGATGATATACGCTTACTAGAACGTTTGGCTGGCCAGAAGGACACTCCTATACACGCTATCGTGGTGCACAAGGGGGTGCACACTGTTGGTGATTGGATCAGTACGTATTCTGTCAACAAATTTCCCGAGTCGCTTTTCCTTGAAGAGATTCGTGTGAGAGCAGAAATGCTTGCTGATAAAATAGCAACATTGTTCCCGAATGCTGCTCTAATCTGGCGAGATGCCTTTTACCACCATAAGAGTCTTGAGTGGGAGGAGATGAACGTGAAGCTGCGCAATATCACAACACCGATATTTCGCAATCGCGGTTTCTCTATTCTTCCAGGGTATAACGTAACAGCGGAGCTACCAGTCCACGAAGAATCTGAAGATGGTTTGCATGCTAATGAAGCCGTCATTGATTTATTGTTATCAATGATGGCGACAATTATTTGCCCCAGAATTGCTTTGGAAATTCCACCTGGTCATGGACAGAAGTATCATCAGTTGACACAGTGAATGTCAAATGAGGAGCGAAAAACTTATTTACACAACAACATTTCGTGGCCCGGAAAATTTCAAGCTTTCGTCTTTAGAGTGGCACCTTTTCCGAGTGTACACATTTGTGTATCGTTGGCACAGTGTGCCACAACGCACAATGCCGGTGACCGCCAGCATCATGCTATGATACCAGATTTGGACTGGCAACTTGCATTGAATGCTTGTGTGCCAGTCAACGTCACAAATTACCGCTGGTGGGCCATCATTACAAGCACAATGCCAGGAGATTGGAAATGCAAGGGTATCCTATCATTGGAAAGCGTTCAACTTGAAATAAAAATCCGTTGAATCATTGCATCTTTAATTATCTGGCATTGTAGCATGTGTGATGCAGTGCACCCGGGGTGAGTGGCACTCATGATGTGATCGGATGGCATGCCAGCTCGATACCAGTGGTGACGAATCCAGTGCACTTCCTGCTTGGGCAAGGCTGCTGTATGGTCTGGCTTGCTCGTTTGGATCTAGATGTAATAAGATCAGGTGCTGGCTTCTGTGTTCATCAAGTTGGGTCTCGAAGACACTGTCACCTGCAGTGGTGGCACCTGCAGACTTATCGAGAAGCCACTTTTGTGACGATCTTTACCAAAGCGCTCAGGCCTTCTTGCAGACGCATGACAACTTGTTGAACCAGTGTGGTGTGCCCTCATCATCATCGGTATCATTGGAATCATTGGTAAGGGAGTACCTACTAATCCTACCTAGTAGGTAGTGAGGGCCTTCTTAGTGAAATAAAAGTAATTCGCAATTGGAATTGCAATTCAAGCAAGTCTAGCCTTGAGATATGTAGATCAAACTATCCTGCAACCTATCCTACAAGCCTGGTTCGAAGGTTCATATTGCTTATTACCAGAGTCACCGCATGCGGTGATACCAAAAATAAAATGCGGTAAAAATGCACGCATTATTGGAAAAAATAAAATGCGGGTAAAATGCGGTAACATGCGTTAGAAATAGTTTTGCCTTGGTTTTGTCAGGCAAAACTTGGGTACAGCCAGGCAAAATGCTGGTTTAACCAGGCAATTCCAGGAATAGCCCCTTTTTGGGTATTCTCAAGATGTTTGCAGGGAATCATAGCCTTGCTGGGTGGGACCCATCCTCACTGGTCTCCCAAAGGGGAAGAAAGGCGTATTTGTGGACCTCGCATTTTATCTGCATTCTATGCCCAAAAATAAAATGCAGTAAAATACACGCATTCTATTATATCCCGCATTATTCGCATTCCCGCATGCGGTGACCCTGCTTATTACTACTGTTATTGTTAATGTTACATGCCGGTAAACCGAAAAGCCATAGGGCATACACGCAGCTGCAGCCTGAGGGCATCTGCAGCCACATCTGCGGGGCCTACATAAGTCTTCAGCCTAGCATTGTTTCATATCTCATTGCAACCTTTTACCGCTCTGGATATACCGGATATATCGAACACATAACCCTGGATATCCGATACTTTTGGCCTGCCAGCAATACAACACTCGCAACGTTTGAACACAACTATGGCAAATCATGCAGTCAACAAGTAAGTGCTACATTGACTAAAATATGCTCATGGATCCAGTAAAGCCAGGCTGGCAGTGCCTGGCACGAACATTTTCGATCCAAGTTTCTCAAAATGCCAAGTCGGTGGCATCTGTAATCACACTTATTGTAAGATTGTATCACGCATCACGATTTAGTCTGCACGCATTCGGGAGCTATGATGAGGTCGACCTTCACTTCAAATGCTCTGACTCTAAACTTGAGAGCGGCCCGCCTAGGCCATGCAAATTTAAACCCCTTGTCTTTACTTTAAACATTTTGTACAGTGTGTTCTGAGTTGCTTCGGTACTCATGAGGTATCTGATCACAGAAGCGCAAATTATGTCTTTGCCCGCCTTGGCTCTTGTACGCCACGCATGGCCACGCATAGAAAGATTTAGGATTGTGTGGTTGTTTTGATGTTTTAGCAGCCGTGATGAATTTTATTTGAAGTCCGAGTGGTAAGAACTGCACGAGTTGCTAGTAAATTATTACTCCATTGACACTCATTTGCTTATTAAATGGCCTGGTCAAAACCACGTTGACAAGGTTCTTGAAAAGCTGCGGCCTCACAAGAATCAACTTTGGTAAACGTGATTCATATCGTTCACCCAATTGGAACTGATCCCAGTGGCCACCATGATGGAATCAAATTTGACCTTGTGTTCCCCGGACTCCGTTTGGTTTAGAGATGTTATCCTGAGGCGGCAGTGGCTGTTTTGCGTTGCTGCAAAATAGACGAACTTAAATATGGAGCTGTGGGATTGGTGGGTGGCAGTGTGATTAGGTATGCCCTCACAAGCACACCCCGACAAGCATTCCACTGAAAAGAAACCCATGTGCTCGTAGCTCACTAGGTAGCCCAATGCCAGCAGGACATCGCCCTGGAAATTCTTGTGTTCTGATGTCGTGTTCACCTGAGCCAAACACTTCATATGCGTTCATGTCCAGGCGTCAAAACACTCTTGAACTTGCTTGTGGACGTGTATAATAGATTGGACTACGTGACAAGGAAGAATTAAACTTGCCTGTAATACAATGCTTGCACCAGGTTGAGTAGTAACGAAGCCCAGTTTTGGGTGCCCATGCTTGCCCTCATCCACAAATGTCCAGTCCTGCAAAGATACCGAAGAAAGGATAACCTTTTTGCATGTCATGATGTAGAACTTCTTGACTGTGGCAGGACCGCAGCAGCACACTATTGGATTTGCCATAGGAGTTTTAAAGAGTTGTTCCTACAGTGAAATAGGATAATATGCAGCAAAGTCAATATTAAGATAATTTGTGACACGATGTTGTCCCAGCTCCTCAAAACGCACCATTGCAATGACTCATGGTATCGGATACCCGCAGTCAAAGACGGATCAGCCTATATCAAATGATCTTAATCTACGTATGTAAATGTATGCTACAAGTCACCACGATTAGCAGATTTCATAACAGTCACTATCACCTAATGGTAGGAATGCTCCTCACCTGGGTTAGTTCTGGTACAAGTGCCTGATGAAGGCTATCCCCTGACAAGCATTCGCTCTCAAAATCCCAATTTTGATCCAACATGGGTGGTGGCACGCTCTTCAAGCTTTCAAAAGTTGCTGTTGCCTCCATGTGCTCCTCTGCTGTTGTGTAAGCAATGTAGGCGTGGTCTTGCAAGGTGGCTATGACGAGGTCTGCATAATATCTACACAATTCCGCATAAAGTGCAAGGAGATTCGAAAACTTGTGCCTTGCTTTCAGTATTCAAGTTTGCCTAATGCCCCTGATTTAGCAGCCCAATGGCTTTATTTTGCAGGAACTCTGAATGTTGGCCCGGTGCTCAGATTATTATCACCACGACGAATACGCATGTTAAGGAAGGGGACCTCTTTGCAATTCGAGTATGAGAAGATGGGATACCTGTGGCCCAACGGATTTGGATGCACCCCGCAGTGCACTTCCTCCTCTGAAAAGCCATGGGCCTTAGCAATTAGCAGATGGTACAAGGCATTGCGAGCTGACACTGTGGGAATGCTGTAGTACTGCAATATCGTCTCCATTTCCATTTCAGCACTCATCCAGAATGAACGCCCCATGTATGCAGGTTGATAGACATGCAAATAGAGCAGTGCGGGCGAAGTGGGAAGCTTGACGAGCTTCCGCAAAAGTCTTTCAAATCCACGCCTTGCGGACACACCAATTGCCGTGAGCATGAAACATATTTTGCTATATATGGTCGGAACCTCAATTCATGCACATGAATGCTAACATCCCCAAGGACCATGCCATGCAATGCACCTTTCTGCATCAAGTGGCTTGTGTGGACGCACCTCCATTCGTTCTCCATAATAGGGAGATCCTTCAGATTGCCCATAGAGGCCCCTCTGTCGTCATTGACGGTGTACTGAAACACACAAAAGCTGCACATTATTTCTGTCAATTTGATTGGCAATCTCATGTGATGGACTACTACAAGCTACAGCTCTAATAATGTACCCACAAGGCTATCACACAATTTACTAGCATACACCTGTCACTGATTGTCTGATAGGCTGGTAGCACATGTGCTGGCGGGGATGTAAGCAAGAGCGCACTTCCATAAGGACAAGGTCCACTTCCTCAGGAAGGCTACTTTGAAGGCAAGCTGCAACCACCATCGATGGAGTAGCGGACTTACACAAATTTGAGAATGTGTGATCTGCATGAGGAAATGTAGAGTTGATCCACATGAAAACCCTGTATGGCCATTGCTCCTCTAGGTGACGAGTGTCCCCTCCACACGTGATGGACCCACCCAAAACGACCATGCTGATAGCTTCCCCTGCAGTGTTAGAGAAACACAGTAAGACCTTGGGGTCTCAGCCAATAATCATAGTTGTCTCGCCTTAGCTTGCCGACGGGTTGCCCAAGGCAATTTGAAACTCCTCTATTTCGTATGTTCTAACATGGGTTTCTTCAGGCGCATGAACAAGATACGTATACTTCCATGCACGCTTTTCAGTTGTGCACCTGCATGCAGCTTGCGAAACAAGCGACGCAGCCTTTCGCTGTCTCCCCAATTGCTAGTGCTCCTTTCAATGGCAATTTCTGGAATGCTTAATTTCTGAGCGTACATAGTTTTAAGAAGTTGACCCGCCTGCATTACAGACAAGAAGAATACAAAAAAAGGCCTGAGTCAGGTTGTTTTCCTGGAAAAATACGCTATTGAACTTCGTTGTGGGTTCTAAGTTTGTTAATTCAGCTTTGTTCGGGCACTTTCTACAGGCAATTCCAGTGCTCGACCTCAGAGTGCATAGCACGGCTGCGTCGTGACGACCTGGGATACAAAGGAATGTTCTTTGCAGACTCATTCGCTTCATAACGTTCCAGGCAAGCCCAATCGGTTGCGCACAACACATTCCAGGATACACTGGCGCACAATACAGTAAAACCCACGGCGACGCGGAAAACTAACATCATTGCCGTGTATTATTGCTGGCGGGACTGATGTCTATGTGCCACACTTCTGAAGCGTTATTACACCATGTAATACCTTAAGAAATAGATACGAGACTCTCGGACACATCCGTATGACTCGTCATTGTTCAGATCAACGTGTTGACACATCTAGAGTGTTCGGTCATAACTTTGGACTAATTCTGGAACGGTGAAAGACACTAGGTTGAAGGGATGCTTGATATCCCGCCGGTACCGCCAGACATTTGTCTTAGAAAAACCGGCTATAGAAGGCTAAAGAACGCAGTTCCCCGTTTTTTTCATGTTTTGTTTTACTAAAATTCTTGCAGGTCGGCGAACCCAAAGGCAAAGATCTTAGGGTTTACACGCAGTGCGTCTGCAGCCACATAATTGGGGCAACATTTGGGTATACCGTATACGTATCGAGAGGGAAAAAGTATACAGGCGTTCAAGCAAGATTCTTGAAATCTATTGACTGGAATCGGATGAGAATATCTTTAATCAGATGTCAAACTTTGAAAAGATGTCAGGCACTGGCCCAGGCTTCGGGGGTTAGAGGCAGACCATTGAAGAGCTGGAAGGCTGTATGTGAGTTATGATCCTCTTAGGGGTGTCCAGAAGCAATGCTAAGAAGACACTCAACAAATCCTCATAAATTTTGTGCAATGAGTACATTAACTCGTGATTAATGGGCATGGGTGAACCCATGCCCTCAAGGTGGTGAGGTCAATATGGCCTTTGGAATGGTTGACCTCTGCCTTCTTAATCACGCCCCAGGTTTCATCATTATGGGAGGGTGCCTGGCACCATGATGGCGTCTACTTTCTTTTTGACGTTGATGCTATCATCATAAGGCATGCATGCACATGTGCAATGCACATATGACTGCTGAAGGAAGTGCAAGAGTCGAGAAGACTGGAAAGCAATATTTTAGGTGTTGCTTGACTTATATACAGTCCTTAAGGACCGTCCGCAAGAGTCGGACTGGAAAACGTGCATTAATCTTAGTAACAATGACGTTCAACTTGAAAGATGCTCCTTGGCCGCCAAGGGGCCTTGAAACACAAGGATTCTGAGATTACCACACAGACTGTAGACTCAGTTGAAACGTTATGCTTCAAGTGGTGACACCCAGCCTGGCAGTGGTAGGCCACCATAGCAGTGGTGATCACGTCACCGAGACGTGGCACTATATACACGGTGGTCACGGTGGCGTTGTCACAAGGCACTATCTTATTATTATGATTATTATTGTTATAATTATTACAGGTCGGCAAACCCAAAGCCAGAGGCCATAGGGCATACACGCAGGGCGTCTGCAGCCACATCTGCGGGGCCTTCATTAGTCTGCAGCCTATCACTCACTCATCATATACATGCATGCACTCCCTGCCCCGGATGAGTACCCCTCTATATCCGGGGCCTCTGGCCTGCCAGCAACGCAACACCATTGCAGGTGACGTTGAGGGTATCTTGCAGGAAAACCCAGAGTTGGGCAGACACTCACAGACAAACATGTGTGTAGTCACTCACACACAGGACAAACCGTGGTCATCATAAAGCTTTCTTAAGATAGACATTGAGCTGAATTCACCGTGCAGACAACAAAGAAGTTCTATGTGACACGAGGTCAACAAGGAAACTGTCCACAAGACGGTGGATCGCAGGCAACTGATCAGGAACCTCTGACATGAAATCGTCTCTCAGAAAAGAGGCGGCTCGCTCGAAAGGCGACAAGGCAAGGAACGCATCAAACAACGCAGCTCCAGCTAACTCCCTCAAAGACTCAAATAAGGCAGTCCGGAACTCTGCATAGGCTGCACACTGAAACAATACATGATGCACATCCTCCATAACATCTGCGTGGGCACAGGCCGGGCAAGCATCTGAGTCCTCCTCGTGGGCATGGTTGCGAAGGTAGTCAGCGCGATGGTGTGCAAGCATGGAGGTGCCAGACCGAAACTGGAACCGGATCTTCGCTCCCGATGCCCATCCGAATGCCGGAGCAGATACTCTTTTAGACCTGCACCCTCAGTGACACGGTTGTACAGTCCAAGCCGAGGCGTGGTTGAGAGGACCCCCGCAAGCAGCGCGGTGTCCCTCTCCTGAACAGCAGCATCAAGGGCAGTGACAAAGGCAGAATAACCTGCATCTAACCAGTCACGTGTGAACGAAGTAAATGATGACCAAATGCCATCACACACTTGACTCAACAACCGCCTCTTCCTACCCCTGACACCTGTAGGGACCTCCTGACCATATAGGAACCTCTCAAAGCGACTCTCAGGCATAGCTTGCAACCGGTGCTGCCACTTTAGCTTCGCAACATCTCTGCGCGAGCTAAGCAAAGGCAGGTCCAAATCTTCCCTAACAGCCTCTGAAGCGGTCAATGTGGGACAGCATAAAATCACTCGTGCAGCTTTAAGCTGCACAGACTCCAACGCTCTGGACTGAGCGGTGGTGGGCACAAGCACCTCACTAGCATACTCTAGACAGGGGCGCAGGGCGGTCAGCAAAAGTAGGCGCTTAACGCGCTGCAAGGTAAGCATCGGTAAAAAGCGGCTTCATAGCCGCGACACGTGCATTACCCTGCTTGACCACCCTCTCGAAATGTGCGTCATGCGAGCCATCTGCTGAAACAAGTACCCCTAGGTGCGGGAACTCCTCAACTACTGGGATCTGCTGGTCACCCCAAAAGAAGCGGTGTGCACGATCCTGCTCGGTAGCAGGCCCACGAATCATGACACCAGACTTAGCGACATTCGCTCTATATCTGTATTTCCTAGCATGGTCAAAACATGGCAAAATGCCCTTCTCTTGCAGGTCAGTAGCACTAGTAGCACACACTACCAGGTCATCTGCATACATGAGAGCAAGAATCCCTGCCATGAAAGACTCTGAAGCGGCCTGTCCCGAATGAAGCGTCTCTAGGAGCTCATTCTCAAAAATGGCATATAAAGTCGGTGACAGAGGGTCCCCCTGTGCAACACCCTGCTGGATGGGAAAAAAGTCCGAGTGGTTGCCATTCACAAGCACGCGGCTCTGTGTGTTGGCATAAAGGTTCCTAAGCAGAACTTGCCTCTCACTCCGGTGTCCCACAACTTGGCAAATAAGCCATCCCTCCAAACTGTGTCAAAGGCCTTAGCTGCATCTCTGAAGATGATGAACGTCGGCAAACCCTGGCGGATCCGGCTCTGGACAATCTGGGACAAGTTATGAATATGGTCGACGCAACTGCGCTTCCGGCGAAAACCGGCCTGACACGTGTGCAACCTCTGGTGAGTCTCCAGCCAAGACATCAAGCGTGTGTCAAGGGCTTTGTTGTATAACTTACCGACGACATTCAAGTTGAATGATTCAACAAAGTGATGCCGCGGTAGTTACCAGGATCCGCCTTGTCGCCCTTTTTGAAGATGTTGACAATCATTGTCACCGGTAAATTGAATGTTACCGGATCGCCACTGTTGTGGGACACTTTCAGTGGCCCACAGGACACTGGCGAGCCGGTGGAACATGTCAACAAGGGCCTTCCCACCCCCACCATACTTAAGAAGCTCGTTCACAAGGCCGTCATCCGTGCCGGCCTTGTGACAAGCGAGCTTTTTAAGTGCACTTCGATCTCCTGCACAGAGAACGCAGAGTCTAAGACATCATCTGAGTGGCAAGGGTCACGAGAAAGCAACTCATACTGCAAAACCCTCTCACTGACAACACGACAATACTCAGCATCAAAGTCACTGTCAGCATGCACATCGGTGGGCTGCCCCAGCCGCCGATAGTGCTCAGCAAAAACGCGGGTGATATCCTGATCGGAGCAGACGGTGTGACCTGCATCTCATAACACTCAGAGAGCCTCGTAGCTTCTGATACCTCTGTCAAAGTACCAAAAAAACATGCAGACATTCTGCGGAATCGAAGATGACGGCACAGTAGCTGTGAATCGTGGGCCAAACTTACCTGACAGGCCAGATGGCCGACACCAAGACCTGTCCTTTTACCTGCGGCCTACCTGTTACCCATTCGCATGTAGTCCATTACATTCCACATTCCACGCTCCATGCATCTTCTATATATATATGATTGTCACGATGATGGTGCACCTAAAGCTGTCAAAGCGGGGATGGTGTGACAAAATCAATAATATTGATTCAATATGCATCACGTTGAGATTTGGATGTTGCATATTCGGGAACCTTTAAATATGGGTAAGATTTGCTTGCTATCTGACCAATGGCATTTCGGGTGATGTTTTGCCAAACTCTTGAAGGAGGAGCAAGATCCTCGTTATCATCAAAGACCCCACATCAAACCAGCTGTGTTTCTCTGCATGGGCCATTATGTCTTCCTTCAGTTTATCCGCCAACCCCCGACCTGCTTGCCAATTCTGATACACTTCTTGCATGCGACACTTCAAGGATTGCACACTAGGCTCTGACCAAGATGGCTGTTGCACTGTTGAGTGTCCGAATAAGGTCATATTGCCACATGGTTTAATTGTACATTGTGCTGGCTCTGTATCAATCAGCAAGCACGCTGCCACATCAGTAGGGCATATCTCTACACTTGGCCCAAAATCCGTCACAATCACTTGGAGACCCATAGCCATGGCTTCCAAGACTGTCAGCCCAAAACCCTCACTACGATATGGTGATACATATACATCGGTTGCTTTATAAAGCTGGAGCATCTCAAAATGTGACAAATCATCCTGTAAGAGAAGGATGTCAGGCATCTCTGAATCATTTTGAAAAGCCAGAATCTCTTTAAGTTGGAAATCGTCGCCATAGACCGAGTGGATGATAAGGATTACGTTGTCACTATTCTTGAATGCACTTGTGAAGGCTTTCAGCAACACATCGATGCCCTTGCGTGGTAAAAGGCCACCGTTGAACAGAATTTTGAAGCCTTTCTGTGATGGCAATTTCAAAGGCTGCAGAGATACATTGAATTTACCAAATTCAATCCCATGGCTGACCACATTTATCTTGTTTCGGCGAACG